TTTTCTAGACATGAAAGTCAGAATCTATTTTTTTTTTGACATGACATACGTGCTCGTTTTTCCCATGCGATGCAACAATCATGGAGTTGGCACCGGAAGTTTTTTCACACACGTCATATTCTCCAGACTTGTCAACTTCAGATATTAATTTTGGTTCTATTATTTCGTCTGGTCATTGCTATCTAAAAAATTCATCGAAGAATTCATCAACCCAAAACCAAAATCTTTCATTTAGGAGGGAATTCGCTGAAAGTTACCCTAAAGTCGACAAAAATATTTTGATGGCTGATAATGGCTAGTCAGCTAGTCAAGTAAATTCTTATCGATTTATAGTGAGTTCTTCCCTCATTGGCTACCTTATACTTGTGGCCTTGTATCAGACTAAGCTAAGCTGATAGGAAAAGGACTGATTTGCTGGAAGTATGTAGAAACTATGTTTGTTTGATTTTTTATTGTTTATCAATCTAAACATTTTGGATTACAAGAATAATTATTTTTCTACGTCTGAATAATGCATTAATATTTTTAAAGATGACAATAATTTTTCCATATACAAATCCTACTATTTAACCCATAGCTGGTGGAGAAGATTGGTTCATATCTTTCCCAAGGATATTTACGCGTATGTGAATGTGACTTGACTGGAATTCGAACTAGGCTCTCCGATTTCACATTTCGAATCGCTATCCATTTGATCACCCGTAAAGTAGGTAGAAAGGTTTTTCACCAACTGATTTAACTCATAACAGAAGGCAAGATCCTTTTCCGATATTCCACACTCAATGGATCATGTGAATCGCGTTATGTTTTACATAGAGAAAAGGAAAGTAAACCGCAATTACCTTATTTATATTTTTTTAAGCGTTTCACCCCAAGCAAGGCGGGAAGCCACTAGGACGCAAGGGGTTACAGAAGATTTGGAGCAATATCAGATAGGAGTGATAGAGGAAAGGATGAGGAGAGGGATAGTGGATAGATCAAGGCAACTGGAGATATCGATTGACATTACATTTGAATAGTTGGAGATTATAGCTCTCAGGAAAACTGGAATAGGGAAAGGAGTTCCACAGGCGAGAGGTACGAGACATGAAGCTATTGGAGTAGAAGAGACGGCTACATTTAGTAGTTTCGACAGTGAAAAGGTGAGAGCGGGATGCCAGCCTCGTAGGGCACTTGAACTCATGAAATCTGGGAAACAGCGAATGCAGCTCCTCGGAGCAATTGCCATGAAAGTATTTGTAAAAATAACAGAGAGAGACGACGGAGCGTCTGTGAGAGAGCGACTGTAGACGAGATGCCAGAACAGGGCCAATTATATTACATATCCGCCTCTAGCGCCTATCAAGAACCCCGAGGCAAACAGAGGGGGCTCCAGACCATATATGACAGCAATACTCCATACAAGGGGGAATTGTTGATTTGTAGATCTGAAGGATCGATTCCGGAGAGAAAAATTTCCTGGCGCGGCACAGGGAGCCAACTTTCCTTGCGGTGGACGAAGCAGTTGACTCAATGTATTTGTTCCATCTCAGGTCAGCAGTCAACGTGAGACCGAGCAGACGCAGAGAGGTGCTCTCGAGAAGTTGAGCGTCAGACATTCTAATGGAGGACAGGGAAGGATCTCTATGGTAATTGATAGAGAGCAGTTTATCAATTATCAGTGTTTAATACTACATGTGATATACCAGTCAGGATTTATGAAACAAATGTGAATATATTCATTCATTTGAATTAAGGAAAGGAACAAAAACAAAAACAAAAACAAAAAAGAAGTGAAATTTGAAAATTTAACTCAGTGCAATAATTAGTCAGTCTAATCTTGGTTGGTTATCAGTCGAGGAGAAGCAAGATCCTGAATTCAAAACTGCATAGAGGCACGTTGGAGTAATGGATAGCGACTCGGATTGAGGAATCGGAGAGACGAGTTCGAATTTCATTCGAATCCATTACATCCACTTACGTACTAATACCCTTGGGAAAGTTATGAATTCTCTTCTTCCCCCCAGCTATGGGTAAATAGCAGAACAGACCGGGTTCTATAGCCTTTGATGGCAACTGGTCTACCGCAGAAAGAAATGGAAACCTACTGCGGGAAAAACAATCATCAGCCTCGTCAGCCATGTATCGAAAGATACATGATCGCCTAAGCGTGTATCACGCATGTCACATAACTGACTGATAGAAAGCAAGGAGAAAGACTCCATATTTTTACCAAGAGTATTTATAGCAATATGAGAGATATTAAAAAAAAAAAAGAAGGTGGCTGTGGAGAGCAATGAACGCCTACGCGTTGAAAGAGAGTAGTGCTTAAGGAGGAAGATATATTAAGCAGGCAAGGTTTCGCATATTCCAGCGACTAAAAAAATGCAAAATCCACCGTCCCCTCTTTTAGTCGGTATAATTTTCAGCACAATCTGATTCGATAATATTGACTGTCGGCAAAATATAAAGCATCGAATTTCGCAAATATGAAACAATTTGCTGTGCAATGAAAGTCCATAAAATGATCAGAGTTTAAGAATAAACCAAAATAAAGAATCGGTCGATTGAACCGGTAGACTTCTTTTATAAGTATAGGATCATTGACTCAACACGCTAATTGGCGCTAATGTAGTTTCAGTAGCAATTGCTGTCACATATGATCCAGTCCTCCTGCTTTTTATCTAGAGCTCTTCGATAAAATCCAAAAGAAGAATCAATATTATTGGCTCGGTTCTGGCGTCTCGGTTTTAGTCACTTTCCTAGCGCCATAAGGTTGACTCCCTGTGCCTTTTCTATAAATAACTAGCAGTAGAGCCTGGCGTTGCCCGGGGATGTAACAGTAAGAGATAGATCAAGTATCGACCATCATAAAGACTGAAAAATAAAATTGACAAAGATTATTGTTTAAGGTTGACGGACATGCATGTCTTAATTAGTTTTTTTTTTTTTTTTTTACGAATTGGTCAAACCCAAACTCAAACAAAAACATTGTTTTCAATCGTTATGAGTCTACCGATTGAATAGAATTTTATTATAAACAATTGTCTTGTAAATGGAATTTTTAAAGCATTCTGAATGTAAAACTAAAGAAAAAAGTGTGCAAGACAATAAGAAACACTACCTGCTAAAAAAAAAAAGTGAAGTTTTGTTGAAATCGGTTGAAAAATGTAGGAAATCCGATCCAATATATAAACGAACACACACACGCAAACAACCTGGGTTTTATAATAAGTATAACTCGATATGAGTTGTCCCCCTTTCATTCTCGCGATGACTCTTAATTGTGTTTTCAAATTGATTTCGTGCAAAAACAATTGTGTTTTTCCAATTTTTGGCACTGTCAGAACCACTGCAAGGTAATTTTACGTAGTCCTGTGAAGTTTTGTTGAAATCGGTTGAAAAATGTAGGAAATCCGATCCAATATATAAACGTACACACACACACACACACACACACACACACACACACACACACACACACACACACACACACTGCGTTTTATAATAAGTAAGATTTCATAGCAATTGTTTGGATGAGCTCTTCGCTATAGTGATTGTTTTCATATTGTAAATACTCATTGGGGCTAGTTTTTTAAATTGTTTTATTCCCCTGCCCCCCACAGACAATGAATTGTACATATGGGGTTTAGTTAGGACTTTCATAGAGACAATGAGGTATTATGGAGTGTGTAGTAAGAAAGGTAAGTAAGAACGTGTTGTTTTGGTGTAAGGAATATTGTTTTTATGTTTGGCTCAGTGTTTGTGGCTAGCTAAGTTTAACGTTAAGACAAAAGAAAACCGTCCTTTCCCCATTTCCCATCTTGACCCTGTGCCACACTTCTGTTCATAGCAGAATAAATATCGCTCTTCACTATAGTGCCTAGACTTTTTGAATATAAGCGCAGTACTAGACTGGCGATGATGTTTCATCAATTTACAGTTGAGCCGATTAGATGTAACCATAAATTCTATGCTACAGTTTCTTTTCTTGCTTGTGGAACTCCTTTCCGGCTCCATGTTTTCCAGCCAACTTTAATCTGCAAAAATTTAAATGCAATGTTAATCGCTATCTACTCTGATTACTCTTCTTTTGTTCCGCTACTTAGCAATGTTCCTGTTTCTAACTCTTCCACACCTTGTGTCTCAGTGGCTTTATTGCCTTGCATCGGGTGAAATCGATTAAAAAAATAAGGTGGATCCACTAGCTCCGCTTGCTGTGTTAGCTAGCCCCATGACAAATATTTCCGATTTGGTAGGCACCGACTCTGACTATTACCGCCACCAGTTTAGGGTGGGGTGATAGTGGTGATGGTAGATGATGTCTACAAATTGATTGAAATTGTTGAACTGTATTATTCCGGAATTTGATGATTGAGATT